AAACTATTTATTTATATAAAAATAAAAATAAAAATTTTTTTCACGTCTTGCAAACTGATGTTATTTTTTATATTATTTTACTAGTTCGAAAAATTTAGCGCAATTTAAAAATCTTGTTTTTAATTGCTTTAAATTTCGACAACTTAATCCACAGAAAACTTGAGAAATAGATATTTCTCCACGATAGCTTTTTTAATCAGTGTTTTGTAAAAAATTAGAAGCAGATAAATGTTGGTGACGAGAGTTTTTAAATGAAATTTTTATTTTAGTTAAAAAAATTAATATTGACAACATTTTGTGGTAATGAATGAAATGTAACATTTGGTCATTTACTGTAAAACTTTATAAACTTCAATTTCACCAAACTTACGATGTACATTGTTTTTCGACCTATACGTGTTAAAATTTGTGATGCCTCTTTCAAAGGTTTATTCAGGAAAATTAAGTTTTATTTTTCCGTCTAACTATGTACGTATTTCTAGCTGCTGATGTTTTGTAAAATTGTTCATTCCATTAGTCTATATCCCAAATAAAATAAAATGTTTTGCTTAAATTATTATTATAATTAGAATTTTTATGAAAAATAATACGATCCAATGATGCTTGAAAAACATGTTCAATAAAACGTGTTCAATAAAAAACAGACCCTAACTGAAAATCTTATAAATTAAAAAACACCGAGCCAACTCGTGCTCGTCAACCCCTCCAGTCCAAAACTAAAGTTGCAACGAAACGACGTCTGCAGCATCAGAAACAAAAAAAGGCTGTATCGGTCTCCACGTATCCCTTGAAATCGATCAACCAGCGCGCGAAACAGAATGAAGAGAGGGAGTGGTTGGGGGGGGGGGGTGAATTAAGGGAGTCATCCTCGAGCGTCGATCCGTGAAGTTGGCCCTTCCGGTAATCCCATTCTTTTTCACTTAAGAGATAAAGAGAGGCTCGAGCGCTCCCCCAGGAGCTCCTGGACGCCCCGTCCCTATATGCGATGGAATTAGCTTGAAATGGGATTCTACGAGGCTCGAGCCAACATATGTCCGAGTCGTGTAGTATACCGCGCCTCTTTTTCGCTCGGACGCCCGCGCATGGATTACGACGACGCATATTGTTTATTTGATAAGTGAATAACAATTAGATTTTTGCATAAAAAATTCTATTTGGTCCGTCTTGTATAATTTTAAAAAATAATCGACACGTATTTTTTCTTTATTCTTAAAAATAAAAATTGAAAAATATATAATATAGTATCTGAAAATATGGTATTTTAAAAGTTACAGAAAACATCATATATATGTGACGTTGTAAAGTATACATGACACATGCATGTCTACAATTAAGTAGGAAAAAAATGAGCCCAGAAACGTACAAAACGATTTAAAACTTTCAAAAACACAGCGTCTTGAAAAAAGTATCAAACATACACATAACCTCAAATAACGTAGAAACCCTTACATGAAATTCGCTCAAAATTTAACGTTGTCAACATAATACCAAAAACAAGTATTCCGGAAAGTTTAAAGAAAAAGTATTTATTTTTACTCGAGTTACAGTAAGAAACCAAAATAACTATTTTTCACATATGTCATTGTGACGTCACATACACAAGGACAATGTATATATCTATGAAAATAGAGAATCTTCAAAGGGCTATATCTTATCAAGTTTTCAATTTAAAGAAGAATGAAAAAATACGTGTCAATTATTTTTCAAAATTATACAAGACGGACCAAATGGAGTTTTTCCGTCTTCTAACCTCAAAATAGCACCTTCGTCGCTTGATTTTGGGTTCTCAGACGAAAAAACAGTATTCAAAACTCGTTCAAAAAGGCTTTTTTACGAACCCTCGCCTTCGGCTCATGCCGTAAACCTTTCGGTTCGTAAATCGAAGCCTTTGCAAACTCGTACGTAAATAATAGACTATTTCATGCAAAAACCTAATTACCGAGATCGAGTTTTGTTTCATACTTACAGCGGTGCAATGACGACAATGATGACCAAAAGTTGAGTTGCGAGTGCACAAGGTAAGTATTGGAATAAACTTTGGAGATGGTTGTGGTACTCGTTTCCAATCAATTCACAAATGGCCGAGTTGCGTATCAAACGTGATTTATTCCAAATAAATGATCCAAAAAATATCTTTCGTTCAATACGAAAAAAAGTTGACACTTGAAACTTAGGTATGTATAAGTATGCTGGGGTTTACAAAAATATTAAAATCAGTCGTAATACGACGAATGCGTGGCGTCGACTCGTTGTGAAAAATATTCTTTGATATTCGTCTAGTACGCGGACTTGGGCACAATTATTTCAGAGTTCTAATCTCCGATTATTTTATACATTGTTTAACACTTTGAAAAAAATTTGTTTCATTATTTTTGCGCTGGATATTTTTTTCCACAACCTCTTGCGGTATACATTTTTTTGCACTAACAAATATTGCATTGTACTTTAGGGATGATGAAGTTTTTTTTAAATATTTGAACAAACATCGCTAGGTATTTTATTTATTTATATAATGCATTATTCAGGCTTAAAAATTTTTGAAGAACAAATTATATGTATAAGAAAAACAAAAAATGTCCAGCCCAAATAATGCATCACATATTTGGATGAAAAAAAAAAAAAATTACACCTCCTAGTATGCGTGCCCAAGTCTGCTAGTACGAACAAGTTACACCATTCTTTATCTTGTGTTGTCACGACTACACGTGATTCACTTTATCGGCAACAATTAACAGTTCCATGATTCTATTAATACACCGTTTTTTTTTCGTGTCAAAATATTTTCCTCACTCTCACCTTTGTGTCACAATCGAACGAGTATTCATCCAAACTACAACCATATGTATACATAATACTCCATTTTACAAACAAAGCCCACACTCTCACAACCCGCGCAAATGAAAAAAGCTGTCTATAATATGTACACATCAGCTCTTATTCGCAATATTGTCGAGCTCTTCTCGGTCGTTGCATATGCACAAAAAATCGCGCTCTGCATCAGGAACATTTATATGTGTATAGTATTTGGTTTGATTTTTATTATTATTTTTTTTTATCTCAGCTAGATGAAGAATGTTCGAATGGATCACGCCTCGAGGACGTGGTTGAGGTACGCGATGTAGCAGATGGCCAGCCGGAGGATCTCGATTTTCGAGAGCTTTTTGTCCGGCGGTAGCGTCGGCAGGAGCTTGCGCAGCTCCGCGAATGCGAGATTGAACGCCTCGACGCGCACTCTTTCCCTAGAAAAATGTTTTTTTTTTTTTTTTTTTCGTTAGACACAGGTTTTTTAATGAAAATATGAAAATGTTCATGGCTTTCATCATCATCCGGCTTTCGGGATTTTTTCAAAAACTATTATATTCAAGTTGAGAAGGCTTCATTGGTCGATAGCCGTGTTTCAATCAAACGTAAGTATATGTTTCGAAAAGGGGTATTTTGCGTTAAAAGAATTTTTTTCCGAAATCGTCTTACTTGTTGATGCTAATAATAGTGAAATAAAAAAAAAATTCAACGACTTTTATCAAACATATTTAATATTTTATTCGATTTCAATTTTGCTAGGTATATTTTTTACACATCAACAAATACACGCTGATTGCAAAAAATATTCAAAATGCGGAGAAGCACAAGTGGAAAAACTGATGTCTTTGTTTAAAGAATCGTATGAAATTTGTGCGTGTTTGGTGTTTTTAAAATTTTCTTGGACGAATACACAAAGCTGTTTAAAATGTGAGATGAACATTGCTCAATTGGCTAGGCTAATAAATGTAATTTAAAATAGTTCAATTGGCCAATAGATGTAAAAACACTTTTCACTTAGTTACAATATCAAAATTATTGTTATAACTACTAAAAACTAGTTACAGACAAAAGCACTTTTTTAAACGCATCAAACACACTACACGAATCTGTTTGTTTGAAGGTTTTTTTTTTCATTTTCTTCAATCATTATATTTAAATAACCCTATGCTCTTGATAAAAGCACAGTCATTTATGAATGTTCAAATAAAATCAAAAGCGTTTGTGGGAAAAAAAGTGAAATAATCGCACAATAACGTACTTACCTTGTCGCGTGCGCAGTTCTGTACTTTTGGGTGGCCCGTCGGCGTCGACGTCTTTCCTCCCTGGACAGGATTCCCACAGTTCCCGACGACGACACTCCGTTCCCGATCCCGTGCCCGTTACTCGGTATCGCGTTCTCTCTGTCTCTGTTCGCAAAAAATTTCGCATTCATCATTGTTGAATTTTTTTTTAAATATAATTATAGCGACGACAATTTTCAAACCTTTTGCGAGTCTGAAGACTCAGGTTGCAACAACTTGGGATCGGAAGTAGAGCCTCTCTTTCCATTTTCGCTGGCCTATCGGGAGATAAAATCGTTGGACGATGAATTTTCTGGAATACCTCAGCGTTATTTTTTCCAAGTGCTATAGTTACGCTCAATTATCTCGATCCCCGGAGGAAATGCTCTTCGAGCAAAATATGGCATAGTGGAAGTGAAAGGGGTGAGCTAATCCGATGATCGGACGGGCAAATATTTAACTCTGGCGCGAGTGCCGAATTATATTTGGTAACGGGATTAAGTACCTCTAATATTTCTTTGTTTTTCGCGTTACGAGCAATACCACGTAAGAACTCTAGTTGGGGGATCTTGCCAAGTTGAATGAAAAACTTTAAGGAGTAAAAGACTTTTATCATCTGTTTTCCTCAAAGTGTTACGAAAAATTTGCTAATGTTATCCAAGTACAGTTAGGTGTAGGTTTTTAATGAATTGTGGCGTTAATCTCAAAACAAATTTTTAGTTTTCTCTGTAACTTTGGGATGGTAGAATTTTTTTTTAACAATTCCGTGGATTTCTTAAGAGTACAGTTTTAGCTATTTGTAAGAATAGCTTTTTACGATCTAATTTATGTTTTAATTTCAGCATCAAACTACCTAATTTTTACTTATTAAAAAAAGGTTTTCAAAACCAAATCTCTATAAATGATGTTTCAACTGATTGGGCCATGAAAAATTCATAATATATACTAGGATGTCCGTTATTTCCCAAATTTTGTCTTCATTGTAGTCTATGATAAAAATTCCAATTAAAGCTGAATAGAAATTTAATTAAGTCGAGCCACCAGATGCATTTTATTTTGTCATTTAAATAACATGAAATTCTTAGTGGCTTTAAGAAATAGTTTTTGAACTCTTGTAATAATCTTTAATTTGCTTTTAAATGTGAAATCATATTGAGCATAGTTAATACTGTTTACTAAATTTTTTTTTTTTTTTTTTTGCTTTTTGAGGCAAAAAATTATTGATGACAACTCTAAAGAATAAAACAAAACACCTAAATTTATTAAAAACTATAGAATATTTTAAAAAATCCTCTAAAAAATTTAGAAGATGACTATAACTCTAATCAAAATTTTATTATGGGGTTAATAACTAAAGTTTTTTTTTTTTTTTTTTTTTAAGAAATCGCATACATGCAACTTAAATGACCTTCATCATCGTTACAAATTTTTCCATGACCAATATTCTTAAAATTAACGAGATCAATCATAATTTCCCTCCCCACGAAAAAAAGAATGGCAAACCCTGTACGTACGATAAATAACCCAAAGTCATGTTTTAGGTCTCGTATTGGAAAATAACCAGCTTTCCGTCAACGCCCAGCAACGAAAACAGTCCCATAAAAAGCTCCCCTCGAAGGAAGCCGTGGAATTATTGAGCAAAACGCGTGGCAATAATGTAAAACCCGCGGCATGAAAGTTTAACCAGAGACCCCAAGCCGGCGAGAGAAAAGCTTCACCCCCGTCGACTCCTTCAAAACACCCCAAAAAATCTCCACAAGAAAAAGACGCTCCCCGGGGAACTTTAAATCGCCAGTTTCGATTTCTAGGTATTGCCTCGAACGATGCATTATTGACGAATGCGGCGACGGCTATTTCGCCAGAGTATCGGCTGGGCGTAAAAAAATAAGGAAGGAAGGTGTTCTCGAGGTTTTTGCATTATTCACGGGGTCGCGAGATTTCCGTTTTTATGGGTGAGCGTGTCAATTGTCCCGTTCGGTTTTCATCGATTTTCTAACGCGTCCTTTGTTTATTTGTTCGAGATTTTATTCATACGTTGATTATCGATGAAATTCCTAGTTTTTTACACGTGGTGGTACGCAATCGATTTTATCATCTTTTTTTTTTTTTAATTGCAAAGAATACAAATTTCCCCCAGAATCTGTAAAGAAAGAACTTTTCGCTTATTGTAAACAGACCTGGGTCCAACAAATTTACAGATTTTCAAAAAATTCAAAGTAAAATTTTTTTCGACAGTCTAATGCACCGCGTTTAGTGGAAACTTTTTTTTCATCACTGTACTATAACGCATTGCTTTTTAGAGGGTTCGTTTTATTATAAAGTCTTTGAACAGCGTTTTCTCCTAAATTTATACATCCTCTCAAACTGTGTAAACCATTATTTAAGCTGAAAAAAAAGTTCAAAGCCTTGTCGAGTACTGTATCATAATCAGTGATAAAACATTTGTTTCCAACACGAATAATACATTGTATTGGAAAAAAAAAAAAAAAAAGTTACACGATGTGTTTGAAAAAGCACCCATGCCCAAAAGTCCGATTGCAAGTAATGCTTGAGCGATGCGGGTGTCATATATCCTGAATTTAATAATTAAAAAAAAAAAAAAAGATGATATGAAAGAAAATTTCATATCAGCTCGAGCCAATAACTTACCAACACAATGCAACAACGATAACTCATTGAGCTTTAATTAATCGGCCGTCCAATATAGTTTCGCCAACTTATCTTTGGTAAACACAAAAAGCGATAAACTTGCATTCACCCGTACCATGAGCGATCACAACTTCACGTAACATCCATCGACGACGACGAAAAGAAGAAAAAAAAAAAAAAAACTAAATCACAATATAAACATCACAGTACTCGAAGAGCAAAGGATACAAACAATCCCAAAGCGAAGATAACAATCCGAGCTCGTGGCTCGAGGAATCAATCGCGTCTGATAAAAATCTCGCCTCTGTACGGTCGCAGCATCCGCGTCCCGACTCTTCCCGGAGATCCCGCCCTGCACCTATGGTGGACCAATGGTGGGCTGGCACAGCATCCGGGAGGAGCCGCCTTCCGCGTGCGGGCGCCATTGTTCTGAAACGCGTTGTGTATTGACTGCGTGGCGGCGAAATTAACATGGCTTTTTTTCCCCCAAAAGAAAAGGGAGTACGAAAATTAAGTTTTTCGGGTGCGGTTAACTCTGTTTTTTGAGGTGTTATTGGGATGTGTTTTCTTTCTTCATTTCAACACCGAGGTTTTCATACATTTTTGGTCTTAATAATGGGTTTTTTTGTTTATTTCATAGAGTTGAAGGATGCTTTTTGTGTGGTTTTTGGCTTTAGGAAAAAAAAAAAAACAAAAAAAAAAAACAACTACTGATAAACAAAAAATTTGACGAAAGTTTTTTAAGCCATGTAAACCATCATAACTTTATTTAAATTCTTACTCCTATTAATAATTATTAAAATTAAACTTTTTACTCGTACTTCTAAATACTTGTATTGTTATATTACTAATTTTATCGTCATATTTGTAGTTCATCTCCAAGGTTACATCAGTTCTTGTATAATCTATGTGTTGTTCGAAGCTGCTTTTGAATTTTTAATGTACGTAATTTTTTTTCTCTATTCTGACAAACTTTCTATTTTTCTTATATCTTATTGATTATTTTATCTTCCGTTTTTATCACATCGTCATAATAAAATATGCTCATAAGTATATTGAGTAAAAGTTAAATTATCATACAATAGAAGTATTTTTTTTTCATGAATTTTTTTCCTCTAAAAAATATAAGGTGCAAATTGAAGCAAATACCTGGTAAAAATTTAATTACGATATAAATTTTTGAATGTCACTAAAAAATGGTAAAACTGAGTTTTAGAAGATGATGAAGATTTTTAGAACTCTGCCATTTGACTAAAAAAACTCCAAGGGACAAAAAAACCACATACTGAGCTTGCAGTATATAATCGTTAAAAATGACGGAACAACCGAGAGAATATACGACGGTACGAAAATTCTTTTGTCTCAAGAAAAGTTAAAGAGAGTCCGGGAGTGTACTGAACGGTCGCAGATGTTTCTTCACGCGACACCTGCTACCCAGTCTTAAAAATACGAGCCTCTTCTTACCCATAAATACCACGGAAAACTTCACGAACTATAGTATCAACGCTCGTTTTGATTGCCTTTGAGTGTTCCGGAACTGTTAAAATAATTTGCATATTTTTTTATGAAATAATATATTTTTTTATTGCGGGTTTTTCCCTATATTACATATATAGATAGAAGTGGTACTGTGGAAAACTATAAAAAATAATTACCATAGTTCAATGCTGTGTTTTTTTAATGATTTGAATCTGCGATTAATTGGATTGTCTCTTGAACACAAGTTACGTTATGTACGTGGGTCATTTCACAAAATTCCACAGAATTATTTCGAGTCGGAACTTTTTCAAACGGTGTAAACCAATTGTCCTCAAATGCATTTTTGGGATCGTGTTGACAACATTTTTTGCGTGGCCGTAAGGTTGAAAAAATAGGTCAAAAAGTCATTACCGTAACGCGAAGCATTTAAAAATTTCATTTTTTACGGCTTATGGGGCCTAGACATTAATTTTTTAATTTTTTTACGATGCAGTATCTAAGAATTTAAGGTGTTGAGCGCGCCTTGTCTGATGGTTTAGAAAGAAAAAAAAATTATGTCTTCAAGTACGGAACGTTTTATTTGTGAAGTCTACTTTTGCCACTTTTGAATTGCGCACCACAAATGATTTAATTTGGTCAAGTGATTCATTTTAAGGCTGCGTTTAGATGGAGTCTGGGAGTCTCTCAGACTGGCGTTGAAGCTCATTAGAGTGAGCGAGAGGTTAGATGTGGTCACGTGATAAACCTCTCTCTCACTCTTATGAGCTTCTATGCCAGTCTGGCAGACTCCATCTAAACGCAATCTAAGATACTTGAAATTAATCGTTGTGCATTCCGGAGTGTACAAGAATACTGTCAATTTTTCGGCAGCCCCAAATTTTCATTTGTCTATTTGTAGTATCGTCGCGAGTAGGTACATAGCGTTTTTCCCGGTAAAATAGGCGGTCATTACTGTAACGCCCCTAATCTTCGAGGGTATTCACATCATCGATTAGATGACTATAGTGTACGAAGGGGTATAGAGTGCAGATGTGACTAACGAAATTTCGTTGAAAAATTTTCTCTTTGATGCTTCACAATCGCAATAAAAGTACCGCCCTTTTTAAATTTCTTAGAAAATGCATTTAAATTAACATAGATTTTTAATAAATTCAAGCTGAAATTTTAGGACAATTATTAATAACAGAATAATTAAAAAAAAAAAGCAAATACCTCCTGATGTGTTCGCTCACGTCATCGATACGTAATTGCACTTGGGGTCGTCAACAATCGTACGATGGATCGTAGCCAGAAATGAAAACTAATGTCTGTACATAGTGGCACGCACCCCAAGAGCCGGTGTCGGTCATAGCATGTGCTCCGAAAATCATTTGCACCAGCCGCGTGGTGATGAAAAAAAGGGGTGTGCGATATATAATTAGGTCGCGTGGCGTTCCCTCCGCGACTCGTCGACCCCCGTAAGGAAAACATCACGTGTGATTATATTCTCGCGAGAATAAAATACGTGCGACTCGCTCGCCGATTGTATATATAATATATACTTACGATTCATCCCTTCAAGACTGTGCAATACTTCGCTTATATCAGAGGTATATACAAGAGAGTATAAATATATACCTACAAGTGAAAGTGTTGACGAGACATGATGAATCGATGTGTTCCAACTATACGTACACTTTCTTGCCGCCAATCTATTTTCATTTTGTAAATTGACACCGGCGTGTGGGTTCGAGTACTGTATATATGCGTATTGTGATGGTTGTTTCGTCGCGGGCGAGTTTAATCCAAGTTGTATAGGGCGCGTGTGAGCAATTTTCTCCTTGTGGGTTACAATGACCATGTTGGAAGGCAAAAATTATCATATATGGATGGATCACGTATGTGCCATTTTGGTGGATATTTTAATATAGGAGTGAAACGGCTACGGGGATTAACCCGCAGTTAAATTTAGGCAAAAAAAATTAAAATAATTATACCCGAGAAAATCATATGTATGACAAAGCTTGTGACTACGTATAACGTTACATCTTTCAAATATATCCCCTCACTTGTAGGAAATAAAAAAATTACGTCCCCGAAGTTGTAGTTTAACGAATAGAGGTACAAAAATTTATATGTTTGAAAGACCCACACCTTTTTTTTTTTTTACCGTAGCGGTGGATTTTCATCGATTGTATCGAGGAAAAAATACGTTTAATCATTTACTCAAGATCTAAAACTCAAGCACTGTCTTTTATGTAATTTTTAAAAGAACACAAACGGATGAAAAACGTAACGTAAATAAAAATAGGAAAAAGCCATGTTTTGGAACGAAAAATAACAAAACTAGTTCAGTTTTTGCATAAACTTAATCATTTGTGTTCATTTGATAAAACATCAAGGCTGACATCAAAAAAAGCTGTATAATACACGCACCATATTTGAGTAGAATAAGATTTATATCTGTAAACTTTTCAAGTGCCACTTCAACTATTGATACGTTGAGTTTTTATTTTACGCCAAAAATAATTTAACAATGTACTTCGGTACTCAAGCAAAAATCATCTCATTCATTCAATTATTTATAAAAAAATGCAACAAAAACACTTATTATAAGAAATAATGAAATACATATTTGAGACTAGATAGGTGCCTTTCTAACACTTATCAGTTTTTTAGGCACGACTGATACTCAGGAGTGCCTTATATTTTTGCCGGAGAAAAAAGTATGAGTACCTTTAAAACTAATTGTTTTGGTGTAAAAAAAGTTTTGGTACAAAAAAAGTTGCGATCGCGGACCTCAGTGTCAGAGGTGTACGTATGTATGTATGGGCGTAATCAAGTTTTTTGATTAACTCATGCAATTTTTGTCGGATTGGGCTGAAATTTGACAAATAGCTTCGTCTTTTATGTATTACGTGATGGTTTAAAATCCGTGAGGTTTCCTATTTTAGAAAAAAAATGGCAGTCGTTTAAAGATGGCACTTTCAGTAAAAAAAAAATAGTTTTTTGGCTATGACTTTGTAACGTGATATTTTCGAGGTTCACTGTGAAAGACAAAATTGTGAATATACTTGAAATACAACATTTTCGTGTTTAAAATTTTCGTCCAGGATGTAACCCAAACGTTCTGTGAACCAAAAAGTGCTCGTAAAATGAATAAAAAGTCTTTTTCCCCTACCCAACTTTTTTGTTTTGCACTTGAGACAACAAATTAAACGTGATAGTTGAAGGTCTCGTCGAAACACAATTTTTTTCTATTTAACATATTTAGTTATGATATTAAATTTGGGCTCTAAATCGAAAAAATGCCGAAAAATTGCAGATTTATCATTTTCCCTTATCTAACTTACTCATTTTTTTTATTCACATTTCAGATTACAAAGTTAATGTAAAACTCATAGATATTGAAAAAATATAACTTTTTTAAAACTAAAATTATGTCTGTAAGATAAAATTAACGCCATAAATCGCAAAGGGCGATAATCATTGTGTTCTAAGGCTTCCTTTCTTTCATCCTGTGGGAATGTGTACATTTTTTTACCAACCCTACACCGAACAGTACAAACTTTTTACACAGT